GCGGGGGTACTGATTTCCTGCAGCTGGAACTCGTCGCCAATCGTGTCGTGGAAGACGTCCTCGCTCATCGTGCTGTCGGACTTGAGCCGCGCGGGCGTCTGCGGCTGTTCCGTTGGCACACGCGAGCCGAAGTCCGCCGTGTACAACACGTCTCGCGCGTTGCGGCCTTCGACCAGCACCTGCTTGGTCGGGCCGCGGCGGATCTTTCCGCTACTGGTTTTTGCGATGGTGCGAGCCTTCAGTAGCCATACCTTCCTTATTTGTAAGCCGAAGTGCTCAAATACAGTTTTTTGAATCTCGTTGCCGATTTCCGCGAGCCGAGCGATCTGCGCGCGCTCGTTGACCAATTTGTTCCAAAACAGCTTTATCAGTCCTTCGTTCTCGTCGCGCACCTCCGCGGCGACCGCGATTTCTTCCTCACCCGTCTCGCCCTGGATCATGAACACGGCGATGTTGCTCGGCCGCAGCTGCCGCACGCACTCCAAACACTCTTCGATGTCTTGCGGGTAGTAGTTACGCCCGCGGATGATGATGATGTCCTTGATGCGCCCGCAGACGAACAGCTCGCCGCCAAACAAGAAGCCGTAGTCGCCGGTCCGCAGGAACGAGCGCCGGTGCAACTCGTTTTCGCGCGTGGTCAGCTTCGCGTAGAAATCCGACTCGGTTTTGTCCGGCAGCCCGAAGTAGCCGCGCGCGTTCGAGTCCGCGGCGACCCAGATCTCGCCGACCTCGTCCGGCGCGCACTCGACGCAGTCTGCGGGGTTCACGATGCGGACCTCGGTGTCGAGACACGGCTTCCCGCAGCCGACGAACACCGAGGCGCGGTTGCCGCCAATCAGCGCGTGGTTGAACTCCGGGTCGTCGTCGCGCAGCCGGCCGCTGCGCAGCACACATACCTTGCGCTCGAACTTGAGCAGGTCGTCGTCGAGCTGCACGATCAGCGGCGCCTCGCCCGGCTCCATCACGCCGCTGACGATCAGCGTGTTCTCCGCGAGCCCGTAGCACGGCTTGTACATCGAGTAACGAAAGCCGCGCGGCGCGAACTTCTCAGCGAAGCGCACCAGCGTCGCGCCGCGGATCGGCTCCGCGCCCGACAAGAAGCCGCTCATGCAAGACAAGTCGATCTTTGCGAGCTCCTCGTCGCTCATTTTGCGGCAGACCACTTCGAATGCGAAGTTCGGCGCGCCGGTGTACACGCAGTTGTACTCGCTCATCACCTTCAGCCACAGGTGCGGCCGCCGAATAAAGTCCAGCGGCGACATTTGGTACATCGTGCCGCCGAAGAACAGCGGGCAGCACGTGAACCCAATCAGCCCCATGTCGTGGTACACAGGCAGCCAGCTAAACACGCGCAGTCGGTGCCCGAACGTCGCGATCGAGACGGCGTGCCGCTGCTTCCAAAACTCGTCGAGCTCCAGCAAGTAGTGGTAGTCGCTGCAGGACAGCACCGGGTCGTCCGGCCGTTCGAACATCGTGTTCATGTTGAACGCGCGAATCGCCGTGTGGATGTTGTGCAGCAGCGAGCCGTGCGTCACCACCACACCCTTCGGCTGCGACGTGCTGCCGCTCGTAAACTGCAGAAAGCCCACGCTGTTCAGGTGCAGCCGCGGCGGCGTCCACGCCAGTGCTTCCGGGTCCGAGCAGAAGTTGTACGCCTTCCGAATGTCGAGCCACTTAATCTTGCGCCAGCGCGGCTCCTTCGTCGTCAGCGCGACTAGTTTGCTGATGCGCACATACTCCGTGTGCGTCAGTGCCAGCGAGACTTCTGCCGTGCTCACAATGTCGCAGAAGCGCGGGACCTCGAAGTCCGCGCGCGCGGGCGTCGGCGGATACACGGGCACGGCAACTACGCCCGCGATCAGACAGCCGAAAAACGCCGCAATGAAGTCCAAGCCGGGAATGAAGCAGAGCACCACGCGATCCTCGCGCTTCACGCCGTGGCTCTTCAAGAACTGCACGATCTGCGTCGCCGCGCGAGCAACCTACTTTACGCGTGCGCAAGTGAATTTCGCGGTAGGTCAGCGACTCCTGCACCTTGCCGCTCGCCTGGATCCAAACCGACTGCAAGTCTTCCGGGATCTCGTGCGCGTACTTGTCGAGCATGTACGCGAACGGATTGCACTTCAGGCGGAGGAACAGTTCCTGCAGGTCGCTGCCGAATCCGCGCCGAGGAACCAGCGCGAGTGGCGAAACGTTCTGCACGGTGTCGCCGCCCGCCTCCTTGATGTAATCGTTCATTCCAGAAGGTTCGCTTCGTCAAAACGTCAGCTTCAATAATGCACAGTCAGTGGATAATTCACGATTAATGACACACACACCGACAAAATACATCACCGAAGTCGCCGCAAAACGAGCAGCGTCGCTGCGCAACGCGCGCACGCTGCGCGCGCCGCCACCGGCGGGTTGCGGGGCGGGGAAAAACCGATCAAGTTTTTTTCTGCCATTTATTT